TCCACAAAGATCCAACAGGGTAACGACACGTCAGAGAAAAAGTCTTCGAGAGGTCTGGCATCGGTACTCAGTCTTCTTTTTACCTACCGTGCTTCTTCCGCCGGAGAAATGCATTGTCGTGGATGCCAAGAAACTTTGATCATCTAATAATCAGGGGCTTAGGACCGATTACTTCTCTGTCAACCCGCAAACCAACAACTCAACTCGTAATGCGTCGATGAATTCACTTTCCACTCAATAATTCAGGTCAAAAGTTTCGCTGACAAGTCCCCAAGTTGAGCAATCAAGTGCAAGTACATCAAACATTCCACCACTCCTGTGGTCGACCGAAGCTCGAGAAGCCCATCAGCATCATTAATAAGTGATCTTCGATGAGTCATACTGTTCGAAGTATAGTGATCTGCATGGTGAATGATATAGTGTTGGGTTTTGCAGCTCAAGAAAACTTGGAAGGTAAATCAAAATGTAGCTCACAAAACGAGTGTCGAGTTTGTCCAATGAGACATGGACTTGAGACAGATCCGCCTGGCCCGCTGAACCCTCTTCGTTAGCTTACTTCCGTTCGGGTTTTTGGTTCATCTGTTTCTCTTCGGGTTTCTGGCTCATCTGTTCCCCTTCGGTTTTTGGTTCACTTGTTTCCCTTCGGTCTCTAACTCCGTTGAAACGAAGTCGCGCTATATATCGACTTATAAGGGCGCGCGCTGAAATTTAGTGATTTAGGACACAAAGTTTAGTGACAGTGTTTGGACACGCCCCAGCAGCAACAACATCAAATGAATGACGGGCGAGCGATAATTACAACTGCTAATAATATCTTGTTACCTCATCATTACTCAACTGAGCACGTATCTTCGAGTGGTGACGTGACGTGATGATGATGATGATGAAGTTTGAATTTAATGATGTTAACCTACCGAATCACCAGAGTATGATGACTAGATGGAGTCGACTAGTTGAATGAAGGTCGAGCGTATACATTCTCCCGATTCGTATATTAAACTCCTATAACTAGTGAAGAAACTTCTGAGCTCAGCTGAGGAAAGGGAACATATATTCCCCCAACACTGGTATATACTTGTACTTGTTGGTGTGGGTATACTTCTACCCGAGAGCGTTCGTGGATTTCCATAATGTAGCTTTGGAAATTTACGAGCTCAGTTAAGGAAATCAAGTATATATATTCCTACTTCAATTCACTGGTGCAGTGTGGTGAAATATGCGCATGGTTAACCACATGTGTTGGTGAGAATATGAAAATTCTGAGGAAATTTTGGAAGATTTTTGTTAGTTTCAGTACATTTATCGTATATATTCTCCCAATTCGTATGTGAAATCCTATGATCAGTGAGAAAAATATTGACCTCAGCTGAGGAGAGCGAACATTGTTTTGCAGCACTGCACTGGTGTGAGGAGATATTGAATAGTTTGCAAAACTGATAATACTGTAGACTTTTTCGGAGACACCTGCATACAATCCTTGATACTTAGCCTGATCTTTAGCTAGCTACTTAGTCTTACTATATACCACGGGGTAACTCGTTAACCCAACATTAAAAAGTCAACCCGGAGCGACGCTTCACCAGCGTGCGTCCGGTACGCAATCGCCTTCGCCAACGTCCGAAGATGCCCACGGTTTCAAATCTTCGCATCGCTGCGGAGAATTTTCATCCCCAGACCCAAACGCCGCGATCGAGTGACCCTTTTAATGCTGCGTTTAGTTAGTTACTGGAAACTACATTGTTGTGTTTATCATGGCTTCGTTCAATACCTTCGTTCAAATTGGATTGTTGTAGTTTTTATCTCCTATGGAGCGTCTCGATTCGTCAGAAAAAACTCAAGGGCCGAGCCAGTCGCAATTCATACAAGGGAAATGCTCGAATGTTAGAGCTGTGCTTAGCATCGTCTTGTCGGCGATTGGTGGGTTGATCATTTCCTATATGCGAGCTAATCTGTTGTAGAATTACAAATAAATTTGACTATTTTGATGTTGAAGATAACAATGGAGTTTCACCTGTGATGTGCAAAAACGATTTTCTCATTCAATCTGCACGTGTGAAGTGATTATGACATGTTTTACGCGCAATTCGCCAAGTATTTTCAAATCGCGTTTTTCACACTTTTGTTGAAGTAAATTATTTTTTTTCAGGTTTGGGCGTAGTTATGTTACCATCAATATTAGCAGCGAGTGGTTGGATCGGCGGAATACTAGTGGTATCTCTGGGATGCGTATTTGCCTTATTCGCATTATCACGTTTATATTTGGGAATCGCATTGACGCCGTCATCGAAGGGACCAGTGTATACGTATGAGGAACTAGGAAGAGTTTGCTTTGGAAAAGCGGGTAAGTAGTCGGGTTCGATCCTCGGTAGCGGCATTTTTTAAATATAATTAAATTTAATATGCACATGTGTTGTCAATGTGACAATTCTGCGTAAATTTCGAGATTCTTGTTGCGAGTATATGAAGTTTTATAATTGTGGTAATATATATTCCCCCAACACTACATTTGGGAGTTTTTCTTCCCAGACGTGTCACTATTTTTGAATATACCGTGTTTCTCAGGTTTTATATTTACGGCTATCGTTGTACATCTCACTATGGCTGGTTTATGTGCATCGTTGTTGGTGTTGTTGGGTGAGAATACTACGAAGTTGATACCAGCATTATCGCAACGTATATGGATAGTGATTTGGGCAGTATTTTTCATACCATTCACCTTCCTACGAACGATGCATGAAGTGTCGTATGTCGCAGCAGTTGGTATGGTATCAATTCTCACCTTATTTATTATAATCAGTGCTAATGGGCTTATGGTTGGGGTAAGTAGTCGATCTCTGCTGGGGGATATGCACATGGTCAACTACATGTGTAAAGGTGAAATTTGTGGAAATTCTGAGGAAAATTGAGGATTTTTTTGGTTTCTGTATATTTCTGCCCGAATTTGTATGTGAACTTTCATAATTAATGAGGAAAATCCGAAATTCGCCTGAGGAAAGCAAGCACATATTTCAGCACCAATGTTTCTGTTTGATTTTGTAGCAGTGTGGACTCTTGCAGATGTGTTAGTGACAATATGAAAATTTTGAGGAAATTTTTGGGAAATTTCAATGGATTCGCGCACATTGCTATTCGTATTCCTATGTAAACGCCTATGAATGCTAAGGAAACTGCTAAACTCAGCTGAGGAAAACGAAAATATATTTTCACACTGCACTTTTGATTTTTCCCGAGTGTATATCAGTGTCAACTACTACTGGTGTTGGTGACAATATGAAAAATTCTGAGGAAATTTTGGGAAAATTCTCGTTGGTTTTTCTGTGTATTTTTACCCGAATTCGTATATAGGCTTTTACATTTGAGGAAAGCGAACATATTTCTTAACATTGGCGTACTAGGATGACTCCGAGGGTCGGTATGGG